AGTGGGATATCTAGGATACTAATGGTCTAGAATTCATGCTGTGACAGCCAAAAGAGGTACTTGAGTATATTTAGCCTTCAGAAAAGATATAAAAACTACTTCTAAAAGATATATCTAGGCTCAAAGGATTAAGTTATACACTAAGCTGAAATTTGTCTTCTTTTACTTTTCCATCAATTACTACTAACCTAAACGCAATTTATAGCATTAAGGAAAAAGTTTATTTACTATGGTTCTACTCCTAATATTCTGAGGCCTAAAATAAAATAAATAAAGATGACTGTAAGATGAAACTGACTTTTAGAAAAATTCAGTGTACTTTGCTAAGCTTGTCTTGTTAAGGATTTGGAGGACAAACTGCCAAATTTTTCTGATTATAAGGACACCAAATACTAGAGGGGCTAAGAAATAATTTGAAAAGCCAAACTAAGGTCACGAAAACTGAAAAAAATCTATAATAAATTAAAATTTGATATACTTCGATATTACGGTTTTCCTATGATTCTAAAATCAGATGAAATCAGACTTGAAAGTGATGGCATTCTTTGTAGTATAGACTATTAAATATATCAAAACTTCACTTTCATGAGCTAGAAATGATTTTACTATAAAAAATATGAAACTGTATGAGATGTTTTAAAGAAATTCCTTTTAATAATATAAAAATAAACATGCATTTCTGAATTTAACAGAAAGAGTGAAACTGACAGTCTAGGCAAAAAGTCTGGTGTGATCACTGACAACTGAAGGTATATTTCAATTCTGCATTCAATGTATTCCCACGTATCTTTAAATGAAGCCAACTGTAAAAACTCAAGTTTCAGAAAGATAGGTAATAGCAAAGGGCAAGGTTACATAGAATAGTCTGGTATGTTACCATATTGTATTTTTACTCAGAACTTGAAATCCCTATTTTTATATTTATTTTCTATTTAAATCAAGGCCTGTGTTATTGAATTCTGCTTTATTTTCATTTTCCTAAGAAAACATCCGAAGTAACTTCATAAATGAGAAGAAGTTCTCTATTATTCTTCTTTGTATCATCCATCTTAAAGCTGAGAGAAAGGTGTTCAGGGTGAGAAAACAATGAATCCAACCCCTTTCTATAATTTTGGCACCAAAATTCAGATTTTAAGGCTACAATTTTGTTTTGAGAGCAGAAAAACAGCTGTGGCTTAAACACGAAAGCTCAGATTTAACTCATTTTGTTAAACATATATACATATACTTTTTTTATATATATGTATATACGTATGTGTATTATGTGTGTGTCACACATAAGACCTTGAGGACCAGGAACACCTGGCATTTGATTAAACATTGTCTAATTCTCAAAAATAGCAGTTATTTGAACAATGACTGGAAAGCAGCTGTAGCATATTGTAATCTTTCTCTATATTCATAAATTATAAAACAATATATAGCTTTCCCAGCCTATATCTGACATATTTACCAAATAGCAATTCATCTTATCAGTAGTTTGTAAGTCACTGTTTACCATCAAATGCTTACAGTAGCTGATACCTTTATGAATTTTTCTGCTTTGAATTATAACACCCTGTACCTCCAATCCAATTGCCAAAAGAACACTCCGTCCCCTTTTTTGGCACATAACCATGGATTTCTCCTAGAAAAACCCTCATTAAAAAAACTATTCATAGTAATTAAAATTTCCTCATGAGTGGCACAGGTAGACAGCAACTTACACAAGAGTAAATTTCTATAAGAAATACATTACAAATAGGGTAATTTTCACCTATGTCTAGTGCATCATACAAAAGCATTAATTTTTACTGAAAATAGAACCAATTTTATTTTATTTGCAATATCATTGATAACTTACTGCCCCTCTGATTAATACATTCTCATTTTTTTCTCTCAGTACTTTGTCAGTCCTACATTTATATTCTATTTATAATTCAAGAATTGACAGTATTTTCTAGAATGGTATGACTACATATCATTACTATTCTATTGTTAACTAGATAACATTTCTAAAAATTTACGTTGATAAGAAGTCCAATATGAGAAATGGTTTTTGTCACTTCTTTTTACCAGACTAGCTCTTGATAGCAAACAAATTAAATAAGTCTCCTGATTTGCAAAGTAATTTGTCTACATCACTTGTAACATGGACAGCACAAACGTATCTGCTTCACTCCTGTTTTCATATTTATAAATGAATAGCTTAAAAAAAAAAACAAAACCCTATCTTAAACAACGGCATTAAACATAGAAAGAATAGACAGATAGGGAAAGGGGACATACACAATCATATAGGATCAGTGATTATGATCACTATGTGCCTATTTTTCTGGGTATGGTTTAATTGGAAGCATCACCATTTTAGTATATAAAATTAAAGGGAACTCTAGGCAAACCACCTAGACTAGACAACAAAAAGCATTGCAACTACGAAATATGGCAAATGACCTATGTTTAAAAAATTCTAGAGAGTATCCAGGAAAGGCTATTTGCTTACAAATTTATAAAAAGAGAAAAAAAAATGAGGTTAACTACACGATATTATCCTTGCTTGCAAATTTGTTAGATGTTAAGTGATACCTTGCTCTTTTTGAAAGTGGACAGCTCTCAAATCTACAGTAGAAGTGCAATATCAATCCAAAGGATTTCTATTTTAAGAGTTAAACTGAAGAAAGGCTGAACTGACTTCCAAGGGACCAATTAAGAAACCCAAGCCTGGATATTATATAGGATTCTTTGGGGATTTGCAAATGTTTCCATTCTAATTTTCCAGAGACAAAAATAAAAAGGGAAAGATTAGAAAAAGAAAGTGATCTGTGGCATTTGGCTACTACTTTTCAAATGGGCTCATTAGTAATAAAGTCCTATACTTAACTGATTTTTACCCCTAAAACCTCTCACTACTTATTGAGATTAATGGCTGATTTTCTATGACAGAAGGTCAACATTTCCACACACACACGTCTACTGAGTCATTAATGCAATGGTATGATAAGGTAAAAGAGAAGCATCGGAAGCACTAGTTTTCATTTAAACAGGGCCATGCCTCAACACTATTAAGAACAGAAACAGCTGCACTTAGAATTTCTTTTATTTAGAGATGTAGAATTAGATCAAGAAATAGATGAAAAAAATCTTTTTGATAACTGATTTTAGGGTCTCAAATACTTGTAGGGGAAATAAGTATCTCGTAAATTTTGCGTTACTTTGATCTATGAGTTCTTCTATAGGTGAGATATTAATATTCAGCTAGCCAGTTAAAATTATTCCCTCAGAATTTACAAGTTTCTTAAAAGTTAATGAATCATGAGAGAAATGTTTCTTATTCTAAGAAGTGTGCATATGTATAAAGGAAAGGAAAAGAGATTACCTTTCTGTTTTTTCCACCTCCTAAAGTTTAACAGCTAAAATTTAAGCTCCTTACTAAATCTGAAGTGTAATCTAGTAAAATGTAAAAAAAATTTTTTTTTAAATCTATTTCTCAAGTGGACAGGATACTCTCAATTTATAAATCATAAGATAGCTATCAATAAATATGAATAATCATAATAAAAAACACCATTACTTATTTTTAAATTCCTTTGAAAGTGAAGGGTTCAAAATTGTGAGATCTCAGACTTAGGAGAACCTGGCTGTAAAATATCTTTCAAAATAGAAAACCTAAACAAAGGCAATGGCATTATTCTTGTTCTAAACTGGATTAAATTAATGCCAAACTTCAATGTTTAGGGGGCTAAGAAGAGATTAGAACATTGTCATTCTAGCATGGGTTTAAAAAAAACAAAAACAAAAACAGAAATAACCCAAAATCTGACACCAAAACGCAATAACATTTTACAGCAATAATAGGGTTACTGAGAATTAATACTTACAAAGTAAGTATTGCTAGGCTAAATAGGGGCCTGTTTTATTATGGTGTTCATTTTATTGTTATAAAACCTAGGAAAAAGACAAGAGTGAAGTCTTTAAAAATTTGGTCACACTGCAGAAGTTAGAACATTTTGAACCAAGGCTGACAATCATTGTTTTTTGATCCTATGTAGCACAGAACAATCAGGTTATAAAGACCCACCACAACAGCATTTATATATTTTAGTCCGAAGCATTATCATTAGTTTTTTAATTCACTTTTCTGTTACTGTTACCTTCTTTAAGTTTAAATCAAATGTGTAAGTGTAACAAAAATGTCTAATTTGCAGCAAATCAAAGCTTCTGAAGGATGCCTTATAATTGCAGATATTTTAAGATAAATTCAAGATCATACCCCAAGATCAATCAATTTTTCTCTCTCCACACACACACACACCTAATTACTACTGCAAATCCAAAATCCATATACTGTGCAATTCCAAGGATTACATTATAATACATCATAAATACTAAGCTTAATTCGAAATCTCTGAAAATAATTCACTATGATGCTATGGCCAAAACAAAAGAAAACACAGTTGTGAATCTGCCTGATTTAAAGAGTAAATAAAAGAGCAATGCTAAAAACAAAAAGGGGGGTGGGGGGGGGAGGATTGTTTCCAGGGTTGTTCTCTACTTACAAGAGTAGGAAGGATTAAAAACCAGTACACAAAGGCAGGAAATAAATTATAGCTCATCTTTAAAAAAAAAAAAAAAAAAAAAAAATTAAAATATCTAAGTAACTTGAGTTGGTTAGAATTTGATTTCTGCAGGCCATGATTATAAATTGTAGTTCTTATACCAACTAACGCTTAGGCACTTACTATAAGATTCAGAATTGAAAAGACTAGAAATCTATGAAGACATAGAAAGACATAGAAATCTATGCCCGCTCTTAATGGAGCACCCCAAGCATACATCTTATGTAGATTATTTTCATCAAAAAAAAAAAAAAAAAAAAAAAAAAAGGATAGCACATTTTTTACATTTATTTGAAAAAGTACTCCAAACCCACTGAAAAAAAGAAGATAAAACCAAAATGAACCCCCACATTCCAACCCTGGCTCCCCAGTCCAGCTTTATTGAATTTTAATATTCTGTCATGCTTGCTTTTTTTTTTTTTTAAAAGAAAAAAGACTACACACAGTTGTAGTCTCCCAAGATATAAACACAATCCTAAATTTGGTATTATTTCCTATGCATGTTTTTATATTACTACAAACCCAAGTACTTATCAACAATACATATTACTTCTTTCAAACTTTACATAAATGGTATCATACCATACATGACTGTATATAAACTTCTGTCACTTGTTTTTGTTTGCTGAAGTAGGAAATGCACCTCTCATTTTAACAGCTGCATAACACAGTTCATCATGACTATGTCACAATTTGCCACTCTCCTGTTGTTTAACATCTACGTTGCTTTCAAATTTTTTCCTATTAAAAATAAAAATAGACTTTATTACATGTCTGAGTTTATCTAGGGCATCTAGGAATGGAACTGTTGAATTCAAGCCTATGCATATCTTCAACTTTACTAGGATATTACCAAAGGCACCCGTAAGCAGCATATCAAAGGTTCCCCTTTCTGTATTTTCTCCAATATTTTGAAGTACATGAAAAGTTAATATCTAAATGAAAAAATTTAAAACTTCCTAAGTGATCAATTCTTTTGTATTCATCAAGTATAGGTATAAATACAGGTACTAAATGTATATATACTAGGTAATAGAATGGATTAAATTTGATCCAAGGCATTTGCAGAAAAATAAAGCTCTGATAATAGAAATTTTCTTCACATGATTGAGGAAATTCAGACACTTAGTCTAGAACTATTGTGGTAGAAATGATAAGATTCCTAATTAGATACTGAACATATGAGCATAGATCCAAGATGACCAAAAAGGAAAAAAATACCCAAACAAAAACAGAAAAGGTAATGATATACTGGGTGAAGAATCCTCTCTCATTTTGTTTTGGGCAGTGCTTTTAGCATGTGGTGCCTCTTAAAAAAAAAAAAAAAAAAAAATCTTACTTAAAGCTTGTAAAAAAATGTAAATTCCTGAGGCCGAACTCCAAAGACTCTGATTGAGCAGGTCTGGAAAAATGCTTTTAAAATAAGCATTCTATGTTATTCTGGTACAGGTGGTCCACAGACACCTTATACAGTAATCAATAGTAAAACAAAGTGTTTTCAATTTAAAAGATTATACAATTCATTTTTTGGCTAAGAGTAGACAACAGTAATTAACATGGTATCTATTAAATTACATCAACACATTAAAAAACACCTTAGCATGAGCAAAAAAAAAAAAAAAAAGTAATCTCAACTTATTGTTGAATATATTTGACTATATAATGGTAGAATAGGTTATGGATTCAATAATTATTTCAGATAATTAAAACAGATACTATCACAAAGCCTTTTTTGCAATATCACAAGGGAACTAATATTCTAAGTTTACTGTGATTAGTAAAGGAAACATTAAGAGTAGAAGTGATTGGTGGTGATTTTAATGAAGACCACAAGAGAGAAACTAAGGTTACCTTTTAAAAAGAATGCTACTGCAAATGTCAGACTTTAAATTGGAACTTTAGGCTTATACAGCAAAATAAAAGGTACTTTTAGTTTTCCACCAAGAATTCTACAAATGAAATCAGAACTTTAGTAGAAAGCCGATACTCACTTCCACTGGAATCATTTAGATATAGAAGAAAAAAAAGTACAAATAATTAGTTATGCAAATCTGTGCAAATGCAGATTGTAAAAATCAAGACCAAACTTCTATACCATTTGAAATGACAAAGTCCTATTTTCAAAATATTTAGAATAATCCAAACTTTCCAGATAAAAAGTTATATTATTTTAATTGTAAGAAAAGGTAAAGACAAATTTCCACCTACAACCTGCTTTTTTTTTTTTCTTTTAAAGTTATACACAACAGTAAGTAATACAGGTATTTTTTTCAGTTATAGTGAAGTCAACAAGAATGTGACCTTGTTTAAATTGGGCTATAAAATGAAGATAATGTGGGCTCAGAATATGGCCCAAAAGTGAAAGAAAGTCTCCCTGTGTGGCCATAGTCAACATTTCTTTCCTCAATATATTACCTAACTTGTGATATCAACAACTGATTAATAATTTTTTTCCAAAGCAAGACAGCTTTCCACTCTAACAGATGTAATTAACGAATAAAAATTAAATGAAGACCAGAAAGAAAATAGTAAAATATAAGAGTCTAAGAACCACAAATACCTACTATTCCCTTTATGTTGCTTTAAGAAGAAAAACATTTTTTGTCAAAGAACGTATTCTCTATACTGTATATGGGTACACTGACAGTTGGACCCTTCCCACCTGGTCTGTAAAAGCTGGTGGGTGCAGGCTCACTGGCCACATTATTGCATACTGATGCTATTCTGTACAATAGCTGACAAGCAGCAAAGATCTCCCAGCCCCTGCTCCCAGCTGTACGGGACAAGAACAAGGGCTGTGGTGATACTTGTTTATTCACTGTTGCTGCTGCTCCTTAAGCAGTAAGCTGAGAAAAGCACATGCAACTAACACAGAAAGAGAGAAATGGTTCAGGTCAACCTATACATACCAGGTTTGCTCGTATCAGTACATGATATTTAAGAAGGCATTTTTTTTACGGGTGGGAGAGAAGAAGGAACAAAATTGTTGTTTTGATTAGAAAGAAAATCTATGATGTATCTAAGGAAAATTAACACATGTAATGATCTACAGTTCCTAAGTTTAGATTTAACTGCTCAATTATGAAAATTCTCAGAAGAGTTTTAACCAGTTTCAGGATAAATTCATAACAAGAGTATATGCTCTAGCTATTTTCCTGCAAAATAAGGAAGTGTCCAAACTCCAATCAAGAAAAAAAAACTGTATTTTGCTAACAAAAAGCCCCAGTATCCCAGGTACCACTATCTAAATGACTACCACGTTTGACTTCAGATACTAATAGTAAAGAAATAAGATTTTAGCCCATCAGGTTCTTACAAATAAGCAAAAAAAAACTCCACATGCAATTTATCTACTTTCAATGTGGAGTACAAGGCAAAAAACTTAGTAAGTACATAATATTGACAGATTTGCAACAGATACAGAAATATTTGTACTGTTAAATTATCTTTAAACATAGTGTGATGCTGTTTATACAGACCTACAATTTTAAGTTTAAATATAATTCTTATCCTTCAGCACCTTAAGCAATTTGATTCAGGAAGTATTTTAAAAAGTCAAAAAAAAAAAACTGTATACACAAATTATGAGAAATACACAACACACATGCTAGAATTGGCTGGTAAGTGAAGCTAATAATATGTAGTCAAGAAGGCTAGCTTTGAGATTTATTAAAAGTGTGAAAAAGTACTAATGTTTTAAATTCTCATCATACATTCATAAAAAAGGTAATCTTTTCTTTTTCTCAAAACTGAAAGAGTAATTTTTCTGTTTTAACAGCTCAACGAGGAACAAATGCTAATAATAAAAGAAATAATCTGAAGATAACAGGATAACAAGATAATTTTAAATATATTTAGTAGAAGTGATACACAATAAAAAGACTAACAGCAAACACCAAAGAAGGATTTAAAAAAATTAAAAGACATTTAGAAACAGTACTGGATTCATAAACTGTTATCCAGCAGATTAATCAGGCTTAGCAACCGCACTTGAAACAGGCTATATATTTCTCCTCCAAGTGAATTTCTAACCATGAAAACAGGAAAGTAAAACTAAAACAAATATATGATAATGAAATATCCAAAGAGTGGTTTATGGTGCTGAGAACAGAAATTCTACTTCAATGACTTAATTTTCACTAAAATTTAAAATGCTATTATATAATTATCACATTTTGAAAATGCTTATCAAAATATAATTCTGATGACTTACGTCTTATTTAAATAAAAACAATAGAAATAGATTAAGGATGTATTTGCTATTTCAGGGAAAAACATACATGATACAAACATATACAAAATTGCCTAAATTTTTAAAAAATTTTATTTAAGTCATTAAAACTCTACTATTTAATGAATCTTCAGTAACATTACACAATTGCTTAAAACATACGTTGTCCTTATAAACTAGTATTATACATCACTGACAAATAATAATTTTAAAGTCCTTATATAGATAGATTTGTTACATTACCTGTATTCTAGTTTATACAAGTATTTTTTATAATAAATTTTTTTTCCCCTAAAGATAACTATTTCAATAAAACAGGAATGTTGACAGTGTAACTGTATTTTGGGAACAATCAAGAATTTTTCCTGAAAATGAATTTAGTCAATCCTGAAAATGCATTTAACCACAAGTATAAATACTGCACAAACGACATATGAATTTATCATTGAAAAAAGATGAAAATTAACATAATAAATCCCTTCCTCCAAACTGACATAATGAACTAAACATCAAGGTTTAGTTAGATACAGATAATCAAGTCTGCAAATTTAAAAAAGCCAAAAATCCTTACAAAATGCCTTGTAAGGGGTAGTTAATGGATAGACAATCACGCATAGCAGTAAAAGCCCTTATTAACCTGTCTCCTAAAATAACACATACTGCTGATTAGGTTTCTTACCCTGTATGAATTGACCAAATACAAGAAAACTGTGTTATCTGTGATATTAAATCATTTAGTAATCAAAATTTTTGGAAGTTTATAAGCCACTACATAATTATAGAAAGGGGAATTGCATGATGCCAAATATTTGTGTCCAAACAATAAGTTCTGAAACCTTTGAAGATGACAAATCCTAAACTCTCTAAATTATGAACAATCTGTAGATCTACGTCTTCATAATGTGAACTAAAATGCTGTCTCTTCCTCCACTTAACTCATTAAGGCAGTGTCTAAAGATACTTGAAATTGAACCTAGATATATTTTCACTTTTCATCTTAATGTTCTCTAACCTAGAAAACAAAGTTAAGGCAGAGGGAAAATTGTACTTACTCTCATCCTATGCAAACTAGGCCAATTTTTCATACCATAATCTCAAATTAAATTTATGCAGACATTATATGCCTTGTATTTATCTGAAACAACCACCTTACAGCAGTGATGCCAATTTAAAAGGACCTGAACCTTACCCTTTCATTACACTGATTTCTATTAATTTTTCAACATTTTATTTAATCCAATCTGTTAATGGATTCCAATTTCTAGGTTCATTTAAACATAAATATCTAATACACAAATATCAAATAAATTTTAGTACTTTGCTATTATCTAAAACATTCATTCTTAGCCAAACACTTGAGAATTTGCTTTCAAAAATTTTACAGTTTAAAGCTTATAAGAATTCTATGACTATGATGATAATTACATTTCACTGTTAAGATCAAAAGAAGCCCTAGTGGCCCAGTGGTTAAAAGTACTCAGCAGCTAACTGAAAGGTCAGTGGTTCAAACCCACCAGCGGCTTCGCAGGACCAAGATGTGGCAGTCTGCTTCTGTAAAGATTTACAGCCTCAGAAACCCTATGTGGCAGTTCTACTTAGCCCTGTAGGGTAGCTATGAGTTGGAATCGACTTGACGGCAGTGGGTTTTTGGTTTGGTTAAGATTAAATCACACTTTTCTCATGAAAACAAAACTTTGTTATACCATGTCTTAAATATATAATTATTTTTTTAAGTAAAAAATTTTAAAGAAAACAATTATAGTATGTTATATTTCAGTAAATCTCACTTTAGCAAATGGTTTAAAAAACAAAAAATTGTAATTAATATTTTATTATGCAAAAATTAACTGAGTAATACTGTTCACTAAGTTCATTTTCATGATACCAGACTGCCATCTAGAAAACAAAAATCTTATTAGCTAAATAGTATCTCAAATTTTCAAGTAAAATAATAAAAATCAAAGAAAGTATCCAGAAATGTGGTTGTATGATAAAGTATTCCGAGATTAAGACAATAAAAGTCCTGGACGTTTAGGCATGCTACAATTTTATTTTTAAAGAGTTTACAACTTTGACATGAACGATTTAAATATTTTACCAGAGTATCTATGAGTAAGATAATAGTTTTTGCTTAAGAAAGTGAGTTTTTCAGTTCTAATGAAATTGCTATTCTTAGGACAGTTACTTGGAATACTTTTAATACTTTTAAAATATTCTCATTAGTTATCTAATTTTGCAGGCTCTACCTACCACTCTACCTGTCAAACAGCCAAGCACCAAATTCTATTTGATTTAAACCCTCCATTTTAAAAGCTAAAATGTCAACTATTTAATTACTTTACATATAACACTGTAATAACAAGCTTAAGAAAAAAAAGAAAAATCACTATCGCTTATTTTTTGAATACATGAATTCAGTTTGGAGATGAACCCACAAGACAATGAGAACATCAACTGTACAAAAACATATATGAAGTTTTAATAAGCAAGGCTACTGACAACTCAGCATTGGCCACTTCATAGGATTTCTGTCTATTAATAAATCCTTACAAATTGCTTTCAGCTTACCCTATATTTTTAGCTTTACCAATAGTCTAGCTGAATTATATTGTAAAGATATAAAATTACATGCTTTTAAAATTAAATTCATTAATATACCTTAATCTTCTATCATGCTCCAATGCATTACGTGAGTATTCAATCAAAGAAGTTAGGTTGTTCTCCAGAATTGGCTCTCTCCTAAAGGTCAAAACCTGCAATAAAAATGTCATGTATTATAGCATGAAGACACTCAACAGATTTCCGCCTCCTGCAGTTCCACAGTTGATCTCTGAACAGAGAGGCAAGGTCTTGAAAATGACCCTAATCTTGCCTATGTTCAGAAAAGTCCTAACTTGAAAATAATGTTTTTTAAATAGAAATAAGTTGATTAGAAACACCTGTGATATGCTTTTTTGTCATCGAAGCCTTTTCAAACAAATCAGATTAATATGCTTCTGCTTTCATTTCTCTTTAGGGTGTTCATTTTCAAAGTAGTGAGCATGAGTGAGTGTGAGTGTGTATGTAGGCTGGTGTTAAGGGGACTGGTAGAAGGAGACTCTATAAGGAAAATATCAGAAATATATTTTGTCTGTGCTTCCAGAATTCATAAAAGCTATGGCTTAAAAAATTTCTCAAGGGACAGGGACAAATTTTAACTACCTTTTTCGTCCAATTATGAAACAGTTTAATGATGGCAGAAATTACCATTAACTTTAGTCTTTTGCTATGTCTGAATGAATAATATCAATATTTCTAAATATTTTAACACATCACAGTTCTAACAGATCAAAATTTAGAATTTATTTTTCAAGAAATTAAAATATTTACAACTAATAAATGGATGCGTACTAGGCCACATGTTTTTTTAATGTTTCCAAGTATAAGTGATGGCCCAAAGTATATAAGTGGTTTTTTATATTAGTTTTCACCTTTCTGAATCTTAATGATTTGGTGGCAACCAACTATATAAAAACATTAAGCTATTGTTTATAAAAATAAAAGTATTAAACTAAAGGTTTATAATGTACTGCATGTGAATCATAATACTCTGATGAGTTTTCCACATTTGTTTAAGAATGGCTTAGGAAAACAAATGAATGAAAAAATCAAAAAAGCTTTTATTCCTTGGTGTCAAATATTTGATTGTTTAATGACAAAACCCACACGCTCGTCATAAGTCATTAACATCAACCCAAATACGACACTTAAAAAAAATTAAAATTATTTCTATAGTCTTCCTTAAAAGATATAAACGAAGTTTTCTATACTTGAGCATTCTGAAAATTAAAGTATCTTAAGTTTAAAAATCAGAGAAGAAAAACAGTACAAACAGAAATAATATTCCATGCCAAATGTTAAGTTCTAAAATAGTAGAGACACAAAAATACTAGATAATAAGGGACAAAAGAGGTTTGGATATAAAGACAAATATTAAACCAAATGTGTGTAACAAAAAAAGATGATGTGAAAAAACCCTAAAATATTAAAACTCAAATCTATTACAAAATATAGCTTATTACATATATATAAAATATACGGAAACCACTGCAAACATTCTTTAATGAAATAAGACAGGGTTAAACAAAAACATACTAAACTTGCCATATTTTGATGAGGAGTATTATGTGTGTGTATATATATTTCCAATGCTGAAACCTGTCTTTCTAAAAGAAAGATTCTTTAGAGCATCTCTGAGACAGACAAGAGGGGGGACAAAAAGGGCAAAAAATCATTTCCCTACCAGAAAGCAGTATTGATATGAAGCATCTACAGTCATTTGTACATGCAATTAATTAAGGCAAATATGTAAACATATTAGTAATATGATATTCTAAAATTGTACTACTCTTAGAATTTTAAGACAATCACAACTTTAAAGTTTTAATACTGTCACTTTTAAAAATTAAGTTCAAATGTGCCTTAATATCATTTTATCACTTATTTGAAATGAAGTGGTAGTTACTGATTTTCTTTGGTCTTACGAGGTTTGGGGCTACAAAATTTCACCAAGTCAAAGTTTAAGTTCTAATTACTTGAAAAAATTAGCTGCCTGACACACAGTGTTTCTAAATTTCCTGAATTGAAAAAAAAAAAGTACAAAACTACATACATACTCTAAAATAACAATGCTAAGATGTGTTTTCTAGTTATGATTACACCAATAAATTGTTTTTCTAAAAAAAGGGTTAAAAAGAAATCAATGTGGTTATTATTAAGCTTCATTGACAAGAGAAAAAAAGGACAAGAGCCAATTTCAGGCCAGTAAGTCTTTAAAATAAGGGAGACAAATTTTTATAGAATAATTTTTTTAAAAATAGTATGTAAATTTACAACATAACTGATTTTTAAATTGGAGACAATTTATGTATCATGTAGAAGAAATATCTAATTGAGTTTCTGGGTATTTTTTTCCTTTTCGTAAACAAATCAACAGACCAATATTTTGGGATTAAAATTTCTTGTAACATTCTAAAAAATTACTACATACAAAAATAAATATGTACATATATGTATCTCCATAAAACAAAACAAAAATATAGTACACAAAACATGATGAAACAAGAGATATTTTGAAATTTTCATCCTTAACTTTAATTTTTGATAAACATTAAAATATGTATCAGAAAAAATGCAGTGTTACATACAAACACCTGAGGCTAAATTATGTAAATTTACAATAAAGTTAACAGCATTAAAAAAAAGTCTAATAAAAATTATGCTTTTATTTGAATTTTAAAAAATTGTGTGAAGAGTAACAGCTACCAGGAAGACTGACACCTTTTTGGGCTCACACCCCAACAGTATGTAAATACAGCTTTAAAGAGTTGAGCTACTGTAGCAATACCATCCCCCACCATTATTTTCAGTGGTAGCAGGACTTTTCTAGTCCTTACAATAGAAGATAAATTATAGCTATCAATTTCTACAGCGAAATGTGGATAAGTGCATATAAATATTAAAAAATACACATCTGTTAGAACTCATACGGGCATGCCCACAAATCTAAAACCAAAATTGTCCTCTTATCCAGCATCACATACTACAGAAAATATTTTGAATGCTGTAGATTTTATTTAGGCGCTAGTGTGTTCTCAAGGTTTAAGTGATGTTATTTTAAATAAAGGAATCCTTTGCTTCTCTTAAACATAGCTTATTAAACAAAACGATCCTTCGCCCATCACCCCCCAAACAAACGAAATCCCCCATAAACCAACGCGCTAAAAATATGATTAAATTTTATCAGCATAGCTGAATTTATGCCCTTTCCCCCCAAATAAACATCTCTAAGTCACTTCTAATAATTTCAAAGAAAAATAAAAATAAGAACAGTAAAAAACAAAACCCACTAAGCTCTGGTACTTTTAGTCATATTTCAAATAGAAATGGGATTGCCTAAGATTTAATTAAATCAAATTTTAGACAGGAAATTTTCATGAAATGATCCAAAATAAACAGCCTCGTATAAAAGGTAATGAACAATGGGTTCTGTAATTGCAATTCTTGTTACTAAGGCAATACAAAATATGTACTAAGATGTATAAACTTAAGTTATTTCACTTATTAACATAAATTTTATTTACAGCCCTACAGAGATGCTATAAGTCACAGGATTTTTTATTCATTTGAATATTTTCTAACAATGCGTGTGAAAATACAAAATATGTTTCAAAATTTCAACTACTACTCACAAGAGAATATAAATTTCTATTAAGTTAAAAAATCCCTTTTCAAAGCATCTACAGCTATTTTGTTTATCAGCGAGTTTATTGCTTTTCTTTGAAAACCACACCCGACTTTTATCAGGATGCAATTAAATGGAATGATAAGCTTGGTAATAAATAAAAATATGCTGACGGTTGTTTCAACCAACATTAAACAAAAATCAATGCAAAGTTTTCAAATAAAACACATCACAATCACACTGCTGTATACATAACACATCAACACTGTTGTACACAATGTATTTCTTCAAATGAATTTATCAAAGGAATAAAATCATATATATACACTTGTTCCTACTTACCTGTTTTAATTGTCTAAACTAAGAAACAAATTTCTTGTAAGTTAAAGTTTTAAGTCCTCTGCAGTGGCTGAATTACCAAAATCTACGTATTTTAAATTAGATGTAAAAAGTTCTTAAATATATTCAATTTTTATGGAAAATGTGGAAACGCTCATTCGTTAACATCAAGAAAATTAAACTTTCCATTTGGTATTTTTGCAACACACACACACAAAAACAATTCCCCCGTAACCTGCATCCAACAAATAGACGTAGTTTAACAAGAAAAATTTCTGTCAAGGGAAAAAAAAAAGCCCACTAAATCCTCCACTCGTTCTTTACCAATAAAGAACAGGGTAAAACATATAAAAGTTTTGTAATTTTAGCTAGCAGAAATATAATTTTGAGGAAATAGTCTCTTTATTTTTACATTTAATATACATCTCAGAATCACCCGAAGGCTCTTTATGGGAGAAAAAAATATTAAACACCAACTTTTTTTTTTTTCCTTTAACTCCTCGTTTTAACGTTTCATAACTATTTCCGTGGTTCTCTGGCTAAAGGTATAATTTTTTCGAAAAGTGAAGAATTGTAATCCAGAGTTCAACATTCAAACCCCCCCAGTCCTGGTTTCTTCCAGCCAATCAGGGGTCACAAATCCGGTGTTTGGGGAGCTCCGTTAGACCCAATTTGAAAAACATCACATTGCGTCCTCCTATTCTCCTCGGGAAAGATTCTAAGTGAGGGCGGATCCCCCAGTCTTTATAGAAATAAGAAATCAATCGAGCGTTCTATCAATTCCAGGAGGAAAAACTCTTTGGGCAAGCAGTCCTGAAGAGTGTGATTGAGGTTCCCAGGCAGCGTTATTCCTCTTTGCGAACAACTGAATAGCTGCTGGAAACACCATCTCCCGAATATTTGAAACCCAGAGACGCGCGCCCCACAAGCAAAACATCACACACAGCAAAGGGTTAATCGAGAGATGCCTTCCGCGTGGAAAAGGACTCAAGATCTAATACATCTTCAATGAGGAATTTTTACAGAAGTCATTATCTATGAAGTGTTGCTTAAAGTTAAACGCGTCACGGGCTCAAATCCTTCAAGAGTGGTCGAGTAAGAACTGACAGAAACCACGAGCTAAAAAAAAAAGAAAGACAAATAACACCCCTCCCTTTGCCCTCCCCCTCGGAGTTAAGAGAGTTCCCAAGAAAAGGTGGAGATTGCAAAATTACCGTTAAATTGTCCGGCTAAAGACTCTTCAGGAGTAAAACAGAAATATACTTTCCCAGATTACTTTTTTCCTTGCGACACGGTTCAAAGACTGGAGAAGGAAAAAGTCTTCTAAGAAAAGTGCGACTCGGGAAGGGTACAGAGCACAAGAAAATGGCAAGCTGGAAGCCCCGTCTTTCATCGCACCCATTAACACCCTTCCCCCCAAGAAACGATAATATTGTGAGCACAAATGACAAAAATCCCGAGCAAGAACCAACATTCAGCACCTTTCCTAGGGGCCCGCTGGAACATCAAACCCCGGCCCCTGCCCCATATTCCCTCATTGGAAAAGCCAGACGCCGTCAGGGCTCCCCCACCTAAACACCCTCACCCGGACGAAGGCGCGCGGACGGGGAGATGGCGTGGGGCGGCGAAACGCACATTCCTAGGGCACCTCGCGCTTGGGCGTCAAAAGACGCCAATATATACAGCTGGGTCCCGGGAGTAACACTGGCGACCACCCCGGATCGGAGGCACCCGTTACCCCGGGTCCTGAATGTTCCGTCGACCCTAAGTTTCTTGTCATGAGAAGGCGGCCATCACCGGGCCGGAAAGACTGCGAGAAAAAACGTCTTGGTTCGGAAAAGCAAGGTGGGGTACGTCCGGGGGGAGGGGCGCTCGCCCCCTCCTCCTGTCAAGGGTCCGCGGCCCGGGAGACCCCGCCGCGCCCTCTCTAGCGCCCAGGCGGGGGGTCGCGCTGACAGATCCACTGGCTGGGCGGCGGCTGCTCCGCCGCAGCCCGTGAGCGTCCCGCTCAAACTGCAGTTCCCCTCCCCCCACAGCCGTCTCTCGCCGCTCCCGCCACATTCTGCCCGCCACGCTCACTCGCAGACACCCAAATTGCCCCCAGTCCTATTTCCTTGGACTTTTGGCATCTGAACTGAGGGCTGATCCAGTGACCACTCCCTGCATCCCCACCGCCTGCCGGTCCCACCACTGCCACCTCCCGAGTCCCGCTCTGCTATTTCAGGCTCTTACCGACTGCGCCAACCCTGGCGAAGCTCCGCGGACTGCCCTTTGCTAGAAGTAATTTTTGGCGATTTTTAAATGATTTTTCGGTGAAGTCCTAGCGGCACTATACTCTCGGACAGGTTATCCCGTCTCTCCCGCTAGATTGATGAGATCAGGCATCACTCGAAAATGGCGCCGAAAGCGCTGAGGCTCCTCATTCAAATTCGTTAGAGCCAACCCCGCCACCCCGGGGCATGCCGGGAACGCGGGCTGCCTCCACAGCTGTCAATACAGCCTCTCAACCCCCTTTCTCCCGCTGTCCCGACACTCTTGCGCATGCGCACACTCCTGCCCCGGGCGGGGTGGGGAGGCCCACCCCGCCCCAGGCCTTACACATGCGCATAATCATCCTTGTTCGCAACTCTCCTCGGTCGCAGTCGTCCTACCGCTCTCCTTGCGCGTGCGTGCAGTGCCTTCTATTTTAAGCTGCGGAGGTGACGCGACCGTGGGGATTGTGAGCCCGAAGGTCCACAGGTCCATATCAAAATAGATAGGCACTTATTCCACTGTTCGAGGTAAACAAACAAGGAAGGGCCCAGCTAAAGCGAAAAGAAAAACGACTTTCAGCTAGTGCCTAGACTCCAAACAGCAGAATTTGTCTGAGACCTTATGTGTGGATACACTTGTACTTAAAACAGCCAGCCCCGCCAAAGTATTGAGCGCTCGCTGTATTCCAACGCTTTACGGAACTATCGCTATTAAACCTCAGAACAACTTTATCAGGTAGGTGCTGTTATTCTCTGTTTACAGACCAGGAAGCAAGACATTTAGTAATTTGCGTAACGCAGCCCAGGTAGCAAGCACGTGGACGAGTCCAGATCTGTCAGATTCTAGAGCCCGGGACACTTTTTACCACGCTGTACTGCCCATCCCGAGAACACACAGGAGGCGTGGTTGTGTATGTTTACATCTTTATTGCAGCCTAGAGTTAATGATTACTGAAGTCCGCTAGCGTTCTGGGCATCGACTGCCTGTTGCGAAGGCGCATTCGTCAGATCCTTTTCTCTCACCGTCTTGTCCTTAAACATTCTGCTCTGTTTTGGAGATGTGAATGGGCAGTCTTTGGGTGTCACTTAGGGTGACGTGATAACATGGTGTGGTAAGTGAACTGAACGTAGCAACGAATTGATAAAATACTAACAGCTGCTAACTATTGACCGTACCATGTGCTGGGCACTATGCTGAACGCTTTATGTATGTATTGTGTTTGTTGCTTACATCAGCCCTATGCAGTTGGTATCATGCTCATTTTACACATGAGAACACTTGAGGCTCAGATTAAGAAACTTGCCCCAAAATCTTAGAACTAGTTAAGTGGAAGCACAAAGCCTAGGCAACCCTGTGTCCACCTTCAAAAACTGGGCGGTAAGAAAAGGACAGTAAGTGATGATAAAGTTGCTCATATTTTAGTACCTTCCTTAAAAACCTTTCTTAAGAATTCATTTACTTGGGAGAGTTATCCTACCTGCCACCAGGCTAATTATGAGGAAACTTTTTTTGTTGTTGTTGATGTCATGAAAATATTTTTTTATTACTATTGTATTTCTCCAGATGAAGATTTACAGAACAATTTAGCTTCTCATTAAACAATTAGTACACATTGTTTTGTGACATTGGTTACCAACCCCACAACATGTCAACACTCTTCCTTCTTGACCTTGGGTTCCCTATTACCAGCTTTTCTGACCCCTCCTTCCTTCTAGTCCTTGCCCCTGGGCTGCTGTGACCGTTTAGTCTCGTTTTGTTTTATGGGCCTGTCTAATCTTTGGATGAAGGATGAACCTCAGGAGTGACTTCATTACTGAGGTGAAAGGCTGTCCGGGGGTCATACTCTCGGGGTTTCTCCAGTCTCTGTCAGGCCAGTAATTCTGGTCTTTTTTTGTGAGTTAGAATTTTGTTCTACATTTTTCTCCAGCTCTGTCGGGGACCCTGTATTGTGATCCCTGTCAGAGCAGTCGGTGGTGGTAGCCGGGCACCATCTAGCTGTACTGGACTCAGTCTGGTGGAGGCCGTGGTAGTTGTGGTCCATTAGTCCTTTGGACTAATCTTTCCCTTGCGTCTTTGGTTTTCTTCATTCTCCCTTGCTCCCGATGGAGTAAGACCAGTGGAGTATCTTAGATGGCTGCTGACAAGCTTTTAAGACCCCAGACGCTACTCACCAAAGTAGAATGTAGAACATTTCCTTTATAAACTATGTTATGCCATTTGAGCTAGATGTTCCCCAAGAGCATAGTCCCCACAGCCTCAGCCCAGTAATTCAGTCCCTATGAGGAAACTTTTAAAAACGGCATTGCTCAGACTATATTGTAACATTGTTTTTGATTGTTGATTTTTTTCCTGATCTCAATTTTCTAAAGAATCCAACAGTTTAAAATCCAGTTTTTGTTGTAAAACAACTTGCTATGCCTGGGCTGAACCATATGAATATAGTCATATCACATCACTAGGAGGTTAAATAAGACATGGGATATGAAAATGTCTTAAGAAGTAGGCAAATGGAAGACAGCCAGCAAGGTTTGCATTTATTGAGATACAAGTAGAAAAGAAATTGATTTTAGCAAATTTGAGATCATCAGGAAGTAACATGGCAGAGTAGTATGTCTTATACCTCTGGCTGTTTTATTCACTGGTTAAGGAGGTGGGCTGCCTGGGTTTGAATCTCTGCTTTGCCACTTACAAGTTGTGTGACGTTAACCTTAAAGTGAGTTACTTTGCCTCACTTTGACCTTTTGTAAAAGGAGTAATATTAGTACCTCATTGGGTTGTTGTAAAGATGTAAACGAGCTAATACTTTAAAGACATCTGAACAGTGCATAGCATATTAGTAAACGTTCACTATTGTTTTGAGTCAGTTATTAACATTGATCTTTTAAAGTGGCTTCTTCAATAGGTGTTTTAAAAATAAAACTATAATCAGTGCCTTGAGGAGTTAGCATTCTTGTTCGAGCCCCTTAAAATGATAAATCAGCCTTACAAATGTTTTTTGCCAAATATGAGTAATGATTTGTGTCAGGTCAATATAAGGATATTAATTTACCATTTCATAAGAGTTATAAATGGAAGTGAAGTTTTATTTCTGATTATTAAAGGAAAAAAATTAGGCCTGTATAAAATATAAAAAGTGAAAGCTACCCAAATTTCTAACATCCAGACATAAACATATATATCCTTTGTACTTTAAAAATATAAAGTACCTGTGGAGTGAAAAGGCAGTCCTGGTGGCGTAGTGGTTAAGTGCTCAACTGCTAAAGGAAACGTCAGCAGTTTGAACCCACCAGCCACTCCACGGGAGACAGATGTGGCAATCTGCCTCCGTAAAGATTTACAGCCTTGGAAACCCTGTGGAGCAGTTCTACTTTGTCCTTTAGGGTTGCTATAAGTAAGAATCTACTCAGCGGCAAGGGGTTTGGTGGGGTGAAAAGGCTAGAGAAAGTCTGGAGAAATGGTCTATTAGGGGAACTTATTTGCAAGATTGTATTAGAACTCCATGAACTGGTAAATAACACAGCCTTGCAGCTACACTGTAGAATTTTTATCTAGCACTCTTTTAGATATAGTCTATCAAGAGAATTTTAAAGTGATAGATGTTGATAAATAGTAACATTCACTGAGTACCTGCTATGTATGCATTTTCCCATTGAATCCTCATAATAACTCATGAGGTGGGTGCCATTATCATCTCCACTTTGCACGGACTAAAGTTTATGTAGAGGTCACTATTAGAATATTTGACTTATTTTATTTAAAATATTATTTAATAAACCAAAAATCTTTAATTAAATGGGAGAAAACAAGTCATTGTTCCTGTGCCTTAATTGGAAAAGATGGTCTTTTGAAAACTATGAATTTCATGTTTGACCACAAGGGGGTGCAGATTTCTGAATAAAATTTCCAAGAAAAAGAAAAAGAGGGCTTTACTTTAAAACATCAAATTCATGGGTAAAACACTAGTAAGAATACTTGTTCAGAACTTGAACACTCCACAAAGTGGTGTACTTTATGAGAAGAAAGCATTTAATTATTTAGGTACTCAAGGCAGTAGTTTTCAGTTTTCTTTCATCTTCAAAACTGTAAAGAGGCTAATCACCCTCCTCTCCTTCCACTCACCCAGTTTGCAGCTCAGCACACTCCTCTTTACTTGTCATAGGAGTAGAACTCAACTAATAATTTTAAACCTGGGTTTTTACTTGGAAGCTGGAATACAATCGCCAGCAAATGGTAAGTATGGGTAGTGTGGACAGCAGCGGTCTTGAATTTCAGTGACTCGTTCCTGCTGTTCCTAATGAGTAAGCTATAGCTGATGGAATACTGACTTCAACATATTAACTTACTGAGATAAAACAGTGAAAGCTATAGATTTATTTACTTTCAAAAAAGAATGAAGGCTCTTAAAGAAGAAAAAAAATATGAATAGTAACTTGAAAACTGGAGACCCAGGATGGTGCAGATGGTTAAGTGCTCTACTACTAGCATTTGGAACCTGCCCGGAGGATAAGCCTGGTGATGTGCTTCTGAAAGGTCACAGCCTTGAAAACCCTCTGGAGCAGTTCTACTCTGCACACATGAGGTTGCCATGAGTCAGAAGTGACTCCGTGGCACCTAACAACAACAACAACAAAGTTTGTAAGTTGTTGTTGTTAGTTGTCATTGAGTTGATTTTGACACCGAGTGACCCAATGTGACAGAGTAGAACTGCCCCATAGAGTTTCCTAGGCTGGAATCTTTATGGGAGTAGATCACCAGGTCTTTTTCTCCCATGGAGCTGCTGGGTGGGTTCGAACCGCCAACCTTTGGATTAGCAGCTGAGTGCTTAACCATTGCACCACCAGGGCTCCTTGAAAATTTAGTATACACTAGTAAATGTTTTAAAAACAATTTGATTAGATGAGTTCTTAATGTACTTTTAAATTTCTTTATTCCTTGTTGATCTTGTTTTTCTAAAGTGGACTTAATTTAAAAAACACCTTTTTATTTAGAAAATAATTTCAAATTTACAATAAGTTGAAAAACAAGAAGTTCAAAGTACATCCATATCATTTGCTTGCTCTCATGCCTATTTATTTATATACAATTTTTTTCTGAATCATCTGAGGTTAAGTAACATACATCCTGGCCCTTCACCCCTAAATACTTGAGAGTGTATTTCCTATCAGCTCATAAATTTACATTGAAACAATGCGTTAATCTACCATCCATATTCCAGTTTTGTAAGTTGACATAATAATGTCCTTTATATAGCATTTCCCCCTTCAGTA